AGTAGGTACATAATATATACTTTAAGGAATAATCTACATTATTAACACATTTCATCACTTTTAAATTCAAAATATTTCTAATATAATAAAAAGCCTTGCTTTTTAGTGTTCACCCATTTTTATGGTTTATTGCTTGGAGTTTGCTGGTCTGGAGGAGGACTTCAAGGTGCACTGGCACTGGGTGGTATGAGTATGAACAGGTATTTGTTGAACCTCTATGTACTCCCGAAGTCCAAGAGGAGTTTAGTGAGTAGACTCCCCATACCTTGGTCCATGCAACCTGGGTTTAGATCTTAGATTATTGACTGTAGTTATGATTACAGGAAAGGGATGCACTCTATGGGCCTCAGTATTTTCCTGTGTAAAATGGGGTAATAAGCAACCTTGCCTTAGCTGGTTTGGCTCAGTGGGTTGAGCGTTGTCTCACAAACTGAAAGGTCACAGGTTCAATTCGTGGTCAGGGTACATGTCTGGGTTTCATACCAGTTTCCCAGTTGGGGGCATACAAGAGGGAAAGAATTGATGTTTCTTTTTTTTTAATATAGTTTATTTGATTATGCTATTATAGTTGTCCCACTTCCCCCCTTCACTCCCCTCCACCCTGCACATCCTCTCCCACCCACCTTCCCCCACTTTAGTTTATGTCCATGTGTTATACATATAAGTTCTTTAGCTTCTACATTTCCCATACTATTCTTACCCTCCCCCTGTATATTTTCTACCTACCATCTATGCTACTTATTCTCTGTACCTTTTCCCCCTCTCTCCTCCTCCCACCCCCCTGTTGCTAAACCTCCATGTGATCTCTATTTCTGTGGTTATGTTCCTGTTCTGGTTGTTTGCTTAGTTTGTTTTTGTTTTAGGTGTGGTTGTTAATAATTGTGAGTTTACTGTCATTTTACTGTACATGTTTTTTATCTTCTTTTTCTTAGATAAGTCCCTTTAACATTTCATATAATAAGGGCTTGGTGATGATGAACTCCTTGAACTTGACCTTATCTAGGAAGCACTTTATCTGCTCTTCCATTCTAAATGAAAGCTTTGCTGAATAGAGTTATCTTGGATGTAGGTCCTTGCCTTTCATGACTTGGAATACTTCTTTCCAGCCTCTTCTTGCCTGTAAGTTCTCTTTTGAGAAATCAGCTGACAGTCTGATGGGAACTCCTTTGTAGGTAACTGTTTTCTTTTCTCTTGCTGCTTCTAGGATTCTCTCCTTCATTTTAATCTTGGTTAGTGTAATTATGATGTGCCTCGGTGTGTTCCTCCTTGGGTCCAACCTCTTTGGGGCTCTCTGAGCTTCCTGGACTTCCTGGAAGTCTATTTCCTTTGCCAGATTGGGGAAGTTCTTTATTATTTGTTCAAATAATTTTTCCACTTGTTGCTCTTCCTCTTCTCTTTCTGGTACCCCTATAATTCAGATGTTGGAACATTTAAAGATATCCTGGAGGTTCCTAAGCCTCTCCTCATTTTTTAAAAAAATTCTTGTTTCTTCATTCTTTTCTGTCTGGTTGTTTCTTCCTTCTGGGCCGCTCCATTGATTTGAGTCCCAGTTTCCTTCCCATCACTATTGGTTCACTGTACATTTTCCTTATTCCCTTATTTCACTTAGCGTAGCCTTCATTTTTTCATCTAATTTGCAACCAAATTCAACCAATCCTGTGAGCATCCTGATTACCAGTGTTTTGAACTGTGTATTTGATAGGTTGACTATCTCTTCATTGTTTAGTTGTATTTTTTCTGGAGCTTTGATCTGTTCTTTCATTTGGGCCTTTTTTTTTTGTCTTGAAGCACCTATTACATAGTGAGGGACGGAGCCTTAGGTGTTCGCCGCAGTGGGGTAACCTACTCACTGTGTTGTGACACTGTATGTGGGGCAGGGGTCTGAGAGGAAACAGTGGTGCTTGCTCCACTTTCTACTGGATTTTAGTCACTTTCCCTGCTTCCACAAGCAAATTGGGCCCTTCTGGTGCTGATTCCTGGATGGGTGGTTTGTGTACATCCTGGGACCCTGTGGATCTCTCCAATGAACTCTCCTGTGAGGCTGGGAGTCTCTCCCAGCACCTCAACCCCCACAGATGTTTTCAATTGGTGTTTTGAGGCTTCATTTCCCCACACTGGAACTCTGAGTTGCAAAGTGTGTCTCACTCCCCAGTTTTACCTGGTTTATCTGCAAGCGAATGTGGGACTGCCTGATTTACCAGTCACCTTGTGCACCACGCTCCTCCACAATCACTGCCTCGCTGAGTCTACCCGCTGCCACCTTGCGTGCCTGGGGTCAGCCAGCCACTACTCTCTGGCCCAGCTGCCCAACTCCGCCCCTACTACTGGTCTGGATGAATATTTGTTCTTTAACTCCTTGGTTGTCATACTTCCATACAGTTCAATTTTCTGTCACTACTGGTAGTTTTTTTTGTTTCTAATTTTTTTTTGTTGCTCTTATTTTGCTTGTGCAAGGAGGCACAGTGTGTCTACCTATGCCTCCATCTCGGCCAGATGTCAAAAAATGAATAGAATTGATGTTTCTTTTGCACATCAATATTTCTCTCCCTCTCTTTACCTTCTCTCTAAAAATAAGTAAATATAAGTTAATGAAATATTTTTAACAGTTGTTTTTTCAGTTTATTTTTTATTTACTTACTTTTAGAGAGGGGAAGGGAGGGAAAAAGGGAAAGAAAGATCAGTGTGTGGTTGCCTCTGGTGCACCCCCTACTGGGGATCTGGCCTACAACCCAGGTATTTGCTCTAGACAGTGAATGGAACCGGTGGCACTCAGTGCACTGAGCCACCGTAGCTAGGGCAGGGCACTGACTTCTAACAAGAGATTTATCCTGAGGTATGACTGCTGGAAACTTGGCTACTCTGAAATTGTTGTTTCTGCAATATGTGAATCCATTTTCTTTACAAGAACCTGAGGAAAAAATAGGTAACAGAGATAGTAAGTTGTGAGCAGAGAAATTTGGAAGAGTGGAAGGAAAGACATGGCATTGTATTTCATTTCAATAATTTACTTATGATTTCATTAGCTTCAGAGGCTCTTCTAGGTCTGTGTTATGTATCATTGAGTAAATAAAGGTGTTTGTAACCAGGTTTCCTCAAAGCCTTTATTGAAGGCTAGCCAAGAAGTGAAAAAAAAAATTCATATTATAGTAAATTTTGAAGGGATAGGTGCAGTTGAAATGTGAAAAAAAAAGCACACCAAAATGACAAATATGTGGATCCTCAGGATTTTAAGAGCTTTCATTCAAAGAAGGAAGAAAGATTTGATTAGATTAGGTTGCTGTTCCATGGACAGTAAAAATGCAGTACAATTTTCCTGTGTTAGTGAGTTGGATACAGTGTCAGACCATTTTATGATCATTGGGCCAGTAGCAGGGAGCTGGAAATACTGTATATTTTATTTTTTTTGAGAAGTGATTTTTAAATAATATCTGGTAAGTTCTTAGATTTTTTTTCAACTCCTCTTTAATTAGTTTACTATTTTTCAAGTTTGATATCAAGTTATTTTAGTGTGATATTTGCTGTAAATTATTAAGTAAAACAGGCTTCTTACAGAATTACTGATTTTTGATATTTATTGTACATATATATGCCCACATTTTTCTTAATTCTAATATGAGCTTTTTAAGTTTCTGAGGTAAACATACATTAACTTTCGGTATGAATATGTTGTTTATTTACTCTAAATGTAATTTACAATTATGGTTTTTATTCCATTAGGAATGCAAGAAATATGTGACCTCTGATCTTAAATATTTCTGGGGAGTACCAGATTTCTTTTGTTATAATAGTCACAATATAATTTTTTTTATTTTTATATATTTTTAAAGATTTTTATTTATTTTTAGAGAGAGGGGAATTCAAGGAGAAAGAGAGGGAGAGAAACATCAGTGTGTGGTTGCCTCTAACATGGCCCCTCCTGGAACCTAGCCCACAACCCAGGCATATGTACTGACTGGGAATTGAACTGATAAACCTTTGGTTCACAGGCCAGCATTCAATCCACTGAGTTACACCAGCCGGGGTCATTTTGAAATGAAAAAATAAACACCAATAACATTGTTAGAATTCAATTCTCCCATTTTTTCAAACATTTTTCATAATTGATGATTTATTTATAAGTAAACAATTGACTTTACTTTTTAAAAAAATATTTTATTTTAGATGGAAGGGAAGGGAGAGGGAAAGAGTGGGAGAAAAACATGTGGTTGCCTCTGGCACCCCTGACTGGGGACCTGTCTATCAACCTGGGTATGTGCCGGGACTGGGAAGTGAACTGATGACCCTGTGGTTCACACACCAGCACTCAGTCCACTGATTATCTGGCCAGGGCTCAATTCTACCACATTTTTTAAAATTTCTTTTTCTTGCCCTGGCTGGTGTGGCTCAGTGATTGAGTGCTGGCCTGTGAACCAAAGGGTCACTGGTTCAATTCCCAGTCAGGGCACATGCCTGGACTGTGGGCCAAGTCCTTAGGAGGGTGTGGGTGAGAGGCAACCACACATTGATGTTTCCCTCTCTTTGCTCACCATACCCCTCTGTGTAAAAATCTTTAAGGAAAAGAATGTTTCTTTTACCAAAAAATTTATTTTTCTTGATTCATTTGTAACTAAGTAATTGAATTTAAAGTTCATATTTTGTATCTGAGATCTTTATTTCAAAGGTTTGACTTGAGTTATATTGGTCATGCATGTGATGGTATTCGCAGGTCATTTGTCTGATAAAATTTTCCAGACCCTATACTGCAGGAGTACCTCCTTTTACTTTTATCATTTTCAAGATTACTTTGGATCAGACCGAGTCATTTACCTGTACCTTTCCCGGTGAGTCTGGGCCTTTTGTCTTGGAATCAGGGGAAAAACCCTTTCACCTCCGTGGACCTTAGGAACCACATTACCCAGAAGGCAGTTGGAGGGCTGACCCAATGAAGGCTCGGAAAAGGATTTTTTGGTTGGTACCACACGCATGTGGGCGGGACTTCCGTCGCCCTGCTGGTGGGCACTTTGTCTGTTCTCAGGATCCCCTCACCTGTCAGAGGCGGCTCAGCTTTGGTTCCCGGAAAAGATGCTCATGATAAAAAATGACAGAGTCCTGGTCTCTGCCAAGCAAAGGCAATTGTGAGGCTCCGTGACTCTGCCCAGGTGAACGTACCTCCTCCAGGATGGGGACTCGGGTGTCCGGCTCCCCCTCCTCACCTGCTGCTCCCACCTGGCTCCACCCACAGAGTCCTCTGGTCGTGGGTACCTTGAGGTGCCTGGCCGAGGTGAGTGCGCGTCCCCCTGGCCCTCCCCACCTTCTCCCAACATGCCATGCATCCGGGCCCGGGGCGCCTGTCAGGCCCTGAAGCTGAGGCCCCAGCATGGGATCGTGGGGCGCTCGTGGGGATAAAAGATGTAAGGAAATGGGAGAGGGTAACTGGCTGAGGGGCCAACTTGTAAAGACGTGCAGGTGCTGCTGAACCAGAAGGATGTGGGACCCTGGCTTTGGGCTTACATCTGCTTTAAACAGTCTGAGGCGGAGTCACGACCTAACTGGGATTCAGAGGGGTTGCACTGACATTCTGAGAGTCCTGGGAGCCTGGGGAGATTGTGAACCGAGAGGGACACAGGCTGTGTCGTGGTTTTCAAAGCTTTTAGAATTCTCAGATAGAAAACCGACTGGAATTGAGTAATGAATACAGTGAGGCACAGGAAGAGGATTCCCTTGTGCAGGCCACAAAGCTGGTAACAGGTTGTCCTGAGGTGAGACACTTGGCGGGAGGTCACCAGGCTCCAAGGCTGGACCCAGATAAAGCTGACCCTGCTTACCTGGAGCTGAAGGGAGGTTGACTATGTCTTTCCACAGGTTCTGAAGTTGAAAACCACTATGTAATTAGACAAGGAAAGACAGGGTGTTGCACTCCCTACCTGGTGGTGACATTACCATACAGTGTCTAAAGACTCTTCCCTTCATAATTTCCTAGCTCTCATATGAGGGGACCCTGGGATACCCCAATCCTCAGTGCAGGTCACAGATAATGTCAAGATGCTCCCATTTCTGGTGTCAATGTAAGAAACATTCAAACCTGTACTTTCAAAAATGTTTGTTTGAGCTAAACTGAGTACGATTGACTGAAAAAATCTCAACGGAGTGAGAACATGCTTTGGAAATTGGCAGTTTTAGCACTTATTTTATACATCAGAATCAAAAAGGAAGACATAAGTTGGCAAGTTGACATCTATCGGTAATAGGTGTGGGAGGCAGGAGAAAACGAAGGAAACTCTCTGATATAAAATAAAAAGTAAAATTGAATAGACACACACACTTCTTTTACATTGGTGGTAATAGGATAGTTAACAACAATACATGATTTTTGGTCTCTGCTGTGATGCAGTATTTGTGTCCTGAAGGGTAAGGAGAAAGGAAATTATCCTGTCATTCCAAAGGTTTGTTAACATTGTGCAAAAGTAAAAAGATGAGCTCAGTTAAAGTAAAAATTGACCTTCCTTAGAGAAGATCCAGGCCTGGGACATGACTCCTTGCCATGACTCATTTTTAGTTAGAAAGTTTTAATTTCATACCATCTGTATAGGTATTTTCAGTCTCTCAGTGTAATGCCATCATGGAATACTCCCCTATGCTGGTCTGGTTTAGCATGTGGCCATTCTTTTTTTTGGTCTACACTGGCAGCCTGCATAAGCAGTCATGGAATGTTATCCAGGGAGAGACAGGTGTACATGCAAATGCTTGGAGATGACACAGAGCTGGGAATAGGAATAGGCACCTCAAGGGCAGGGCTGGGTGGCAGGGGTCAGAATCATGCCTGTAAAGTGGCCAATTGATAATGATAAAAACATTATGGAGATAATGGGGTATTTGTATAAGAGAAATGTATTGGTCTCTCCTGGATTTAACAGGCTCCATCTGGCTGCATAGTGGGAAAATGGTTATAGGAATTAAGGGAGCTCAGGACCAAGCAAGTTCTATGATCCGGAGGATTGCTGATGGACCAGACCTGGGCCTCAGAGGTAGAAGGAAAGGTTGGCTAGTTGATCCACTTTTTAAATTCTGTTACCATTCTTTTTTCCATTACCATTTATCTTCCTTATACCCTCTTACACCTCTGCTTGGCAACTTCTCCCCTCCTTTTTAAAAAAGGGCATGTAGAGTTTCAGATTTTGCAGCTGTAGGAGAGAAAGGAAAGTGTTCAAAATGACCCTAGTGTTTTTGCTCATAGTAGCTGAAGTGGTGCAGGTTCCATCAGCTGGGCTGAGGAAGATAGCGGTAGGTTGATTCTCTTTGGGAATATCAGAATGTTCTTCTGGGTAATATTTTTAAAGGTTTCAAAGAGCAGTGAGTGCAAACATCCAGCAAGCAGCTGAACACATTAGTCTGGAAATCTAGGTAAGATTAGAAGATGGAAGCCCTGGCTGGCGTAGCTCAGTGGATTGAGCGCGGGCTGGGAACCAAAGTGTCCCAGGTTCGATTCCCAGCCAGGGTACATGCCTGGGTTGCAGGCCATGACCCCCAGCAACCATACATTGATGTTTCTCTCTCTATCTCCCTCCCTTCCCTCTCTAAAAAATAAATAAATAAAATATTAAAAAAAAAAGATTAGAAGATGGAGACATGCAAAAGTCTGGCTCTTTTTTGCATGAGGGCGAAGGTGGCAGAACTGAGGGAGTCAACCTGGAGTGTGAAGATGTGAAGCAGGTAGAGATCCCACTGTGGTGCATACTGCCTAGAGGAAGTGTGAGCCGATGGCCCTGGGTTTTGGTGTCGGGATTTAAGGGTGAGGCATAAGATCATGTTTGGTCGTGTTTCAGAGGCATAATCGGGAACTCAGTGGAATTTCTTAGCTGGAAGAATGGGGCCCTGCAGCCATGGCCCCAAGCTTAGATGGCATTTATTTGCACCACTTCCTGTTATCCTGCCTGGCTTTGCTGGGGCGAAGTAAGTGTTTTATGCAGTTGTGATGACACAGCAGGCAGCTCTCTTACCAAGGGCTGGTATCCTGTCCAAACTGGGGGCCTTAGGAGGGATTGGGCATGGGGAAAAGTAGGGATATGGGGTCTCAGACACACTGTTCCATATTCATTTCTATTAATTCTGACAGGTTTCTGTAACCTTTGAGGATGTTGCAGTGTATTTCTCCAGGACAGAATGGTGCCTCCTTGATGAGGCTCAGAGATGCCTGTACCTCGATGTGATGCTGGAGAACTTTGGTCTTATATCTTCGTTTGGTAAGACATTGACTCTCCTTTGCAGTTTTCTTTGGCTTGCCTGCACTCCCATTTCCTCAGGGTTGTACTTTTCTTCTACCCTAAGCTCTAAGGATCCTGACCAGACTTGCACCCAGGAAGTGCAGGTCAATAGCAGTGGTTGTGGGGTCACCCTCTGATCCTGTTCCCGGGTGTCTGTCTTTTTGCCTCATTGTCTCAAACTTTTCTTTCAAGTTTCTTTTTTTAAAAAAGATTTTATTTATTTATCTTTAGAGGGGAGGGGAAGTAGAGAGGGAGAGAAACATCAATGTGTGGTTGCCTTTTGTGCTCTCCCATGCTGGCAACTGGCCTGCAACCCAGGCATGTGCCCTGACTGAAAATCGAACCGTGACTCTTTGGTTCGTAGGCCCATGGTCAATCCACTTAGCTACATCAGCCAGAGCACAAACTTTTAAAAAAAGATTTTATTTACTTTTAGAGAGGAGAGAAGGGAGGGAGAAAAACAGCAATGTGGAAGAGATATGGATTGCGGACCTGGCCCGCAACTCGGGCATGTGCCCTGACTGGGAATTGAATCAGTGACCTTTTGGTCTCAGGCTCCACTTAATCCATTGAGCCACACCAGGCAGGGTGCCACAAAGTTTTAAACTAACTCTCACTTTCGTAAAAAAATAACACACCCTCATATTCACTGGTGATTTGTTCTAGGCTTTGCATTTCCCATGCCCTTCATTCCTTAGGGGTTTCTCTGTCCTCACATGTGTACTATGTGTACACTGTTTGCTTCCCAGAATTTCTGGGTAGACCTTATACTTGGCAGAGCTAGTTTTTTTGCATTGCCTCTCTCCCTGCAGCCCCAAAAGCTGCTGTAGTCAACCTGCATAGGGAAGGATTTGAGGTCACTAATGTTACCAGCAGCCTAGTAGATTTCACATTTATTAGTGAGAGAAAAACATTTATTTATGTATGTATGTATGTATGTATGTATGTATTTGAGAAAGGGAAGGGGAGGTAGAAAGAGGGAGAGAAACATGATGTATGAGAGAATAAAGGATTGGTTGCCTCTCTCACACCCCCAACTGGGGAGCTGTTCGCCTGAGGATATGTTTGTAGACTGTTATAATGGAAGAGATCGAGAGAAAGAAACATCAGTGTGAAGGAAAAACATTAACTGGTTGCCTTCTGTAGGTGCCCTGCCTGGGAATTGAGCTCACAAACTTTTGGTGCAACTTTCCAACTAACTGAGCCACTAGTCCAAGTGTGTTTGATGTTGTCTATTTTGTCTGAGAATTTTAACTACTCCTTTCTTTGGTTTTATTTGTGTGGAATATTTTTTATATCTGTTTCTTTTCAACATATTTGTGCCCATAACCTTTTTTTTTAAAGGTTTTATGTATTTATTTTTAGATAGAGGGGAAAAAGAGGGAGAAAGAGGAAGAGAAATATCAGTGTGTGGTTGCCTCTCACACGCCCCCTACTGGGGACCTAGTCTGCAGCCCAGGCCTGTGCTCTGACTGGAAATTGAACTAGTGACCCTTTGGTTTGCATGCTGGCGCTCAGTCCACTGAGCCACACCAGGCAGAGCCATAAACTTTTTTTAAAAGATATTTTATCTACTTTTAGAGAGGGAGAAGGGAGGGAGACCAAGAGGGAAAGAACATAGATGTGTGAGGGAAACATCAGTTGGTTGCCTCTTGCACACCCCTAACTGGGGACCTGGCCTATGCCCAGGCATGTGCCCTTGACTGGGAATTGAACTGGCGATCCTGTGGTTCACAGGCTGGCACTCAATCCACTGAGCCACACCAGCCAGGGCAAAGTTATCTAATTATTTTTGAAGGGGGTGGAATATTTGAATTTTTTATCCTGTCGACTTTCTGTCGTCACTCACATAGTGAGTTCAAACTTTTCCCTTTGGCTTGTTTGTGCTGAGCTGTTCTACGACAGTGCTAGTTATTTATCTCTTCGGCTTTCTCTTTGGAGTTACATCATCAGTAATCCATGTTATTGTACAACTGGGAGGGAAGTGGAAGAGTCCTTTGTGTATCAAAAGAAGGACATGAGTCCAGCCATGACAGGATGGGCTCAGGAGGTCTGGCATCAGTGAATGATACTTAGGGAGGGTGTGATGCCAGGGCTTTGTTAAAACATAACGAGGAACCTGTTCTATTTAACTGCATTTTGTCACCTATGCCAGTATCCACACCTTAATCTACATGTCCTTATTCAGTGTTGGCACTTTGCCTATTTGATAGTTTTAATATGTATCATTTCTACTCTAACTTCCAGCCATGGCTAATATCTGCTTCTCTAACCTCTACCCACAACCATTTCTCTAAGGAGTCTTTTTGGTGTGCTCTCCAATTTTGGTACATTTCTGTTGAGCCTTGAAGTGTGCACATTTTTCTTTCTTTGTATTTTTTTGTTAAAAATTTTATTTATTTTTCAGAGAGAGGGTAAGGGAGGGAGAAAGTGAGGGAGAGAAAAGTTGATGTGTCTGAGATTCATTGATTTGTTGCCTCTCATACAACCACAACTAGGGAACTGGCTCACAACCCAGAAATTTGTCCTGACTAGGAATCAAACCTTTTGGTTTGCAGGCTGGCACTTAATCCACTGAGCAACCCCAGCTAGGACTGATATTTACATATTTCCACAGGAGCCTTGCAGAGCATCTGCTGTGCCGATGTTGATTCATGATATTGGGTATATTCACATTCCTCTACACAGCCTTATGTCATAAGCAAAAAGGCTTTTTCAAACCATCATGAACACTTGACAAGTGTCCACCCTATCCTAGTGTCCTTTGTATAATGAGGTGCCCATTATTTACTCCCCTAAGTGGCCTAATAATGTATAACCACCACTTTTCAGAGTCTTAGTTGTTATGAAACTGATGATATCCTCTGCCAATGATGGCGCAGGATAATGCCTTGCCTGTGACAGATGCAAATTTGTGGTGAGAAACAACCCCCCATAGGTCACTGAACTTCACTAGTGTTTTCTTTTTGTTCAGGTTGCTGCTGTGGAACAGAGGATGTGGAGGCACCCTCTGAACAGAGCGTTTCTGTAAGAGTCTCAAAAGCGAAGAATCCCAAGACAGCTTTGTCTTCCAAGAAGAGCCACCCCTGTGAGAGTTGTGGACCAGTCTTGAGAGATATTTTCTTCTTGGTTGACCAGCCAGGAACACAACATGGTTCGACACTGCTGAGGTGTGGGGCATGTGAAAAACCATTTTATTTCAGTGCACAGAGTCACCAGCACCAGGAGCAGGACACAACAAAGTATTGTTTCATAAGCAGTGTGGACAAGGCCTTCCTTGGAAAGAGCTGCAATTTCCATATGTCATGGAAGCCTCGTACCTCTAGTCAGGTTGGAAAAGATCTCCTCATCAGCTCAGAACCCCTCAAGCAACTGGCTACTCACAACATACACAGGGCAAACGAAATCTCTAAGTCTGGAATGACTTTTGAAAGTACAGAAAATTACTATACTGCAAGAGAATGCCAGAACGCCATTGGCTGTAATCACATGGTTGTTGAAGACCAGGAATTCCTGACAGGAAGACAGTGTTTTCTGTGTTGTGAATGTGGAAAATCTTTTACCAATAGCTCTGCACTCTATGATCATCACAGAGTTCACACTGGGAAAAAGTCTTATGAATGTGATGAATGTGGAAAAATTTTTAAGAGGAAATATGACTTTAAATGTCATCAGAGAGTTCATACTGGAGAAAGGCCTTATGAGTGCATTGAATGTGGAAAATGTTTTACCAGTAGCTCTGCCCTTTGTTATCATCAGAGAGTTCACACTGGAGAAAGGCCTTATGTGTGCAGTGAATGTGGGAAATCTTTTACCAGTAACTCCGCCCTCCGTTACCACCAGCGAGTTCACACTGGAGAAAGGCCTCATGAGTGTAGTGAATGTGGGAAACATTTTGCCAGTAGCTCTGCCCTTCGTTACCATCAGCGAGTTCACACTGGAGAAAAGCCTTATGAGTGCAATGAATGTGGGAAATCTTTTACCAGTAGACCTTCCCTCCATGATCATCAGAGAGTTCACACTGGAGAAAAGCCTTATGAGTGTGGTGAATGTGGGAAAACTTTTAGGAGGATATATTACTTTAATTGTCATCGGAGAGTTCACACTGGAGAAAGGCCTTATGAGTGCAGTGAATGTGGGAAATCTTTTACCAGGAGCTCTGTCCTTCATAATCATCAGAGAGTTCACACTGGAGAAAAGCCTTATGCGTGTGGCGAATGTGGGAAATCTTTTAAAAGGAAATATTACTTTAATTGTCATCAGAGAGTTCACACTGGAGAAAAGCCTTATGAGTGCAGTGAATGCGGAAAATCTTTTAAGAGGAGAGAAAACTTTAATTCTCATCGGAGGCTTCACACTGGTGAAAGACCTTATGAGTGCAGGGAATGTGGGAAATCTTTTACCATCAGCTCTGCCCTTCTTAAGCATCACAGAGTTCACACTGGTGAAAGACCTTATGAGTGCAGTGAATGTGGGAAATGTTTTACCTATAGCTCTGACCTTCGGTGTCATCTAAGAGTTCACACTGGAGAAAGGCCTTATGCATGTGGTGAATGTGGGAAATCTTTTACCAGTAGCTCTATTCTTCATATTCATCAGAGAGTTCATACTGGAGAAAAACCTTATGAGTGCAGTGAATGTAAGAAATGCTTTAGACAAAGATCTGCCCTTATTCAACACTATCGAGTTCATTCTGGAGAAAAGCCGTATGAGTGCAGTTAATGTGGAAAAACTTAACATGAGTAGCTCTGCCTTTTGTCATCATTGAAGTATTCACACTGGATAAAGGCTTTCTGAGTGCAGTGAAGATGGGAAATCTTTTACCAGTAGATCTGTGTTCTGTTATTTTCAGAGAGTTTACAAAGGAGATAGTCTTTATCAGTGCATGAATGTAGTACATCCGGTGGTAGCTCTAGCAGTCACCTTTATTTGCATCAAATAGTTCACAGAAAAGTAAGGCCTTATGAGTGCAGTGAATGTGAGAAATGTTTTATCTTTCATAATAAATTTCATTGTCATTACCTAGTTCACACAGAATTTTGGCCTTATGGCTGCAATGAATATGGGAAATTTTTTTTAATAAAATCTTTTTTTAAATGATTTTATTTCTAGAGAGGGTAAGAGAGGGAGAGAAACATCACTTGTGTTGCCTGGTGCACATCCCCAACTGGGATCTGGCCCACAACCTTGGCATGTGCTCTGACTGGGAATCAAACTGGCAAAACTTTAGTTTGCAGGCCAGTACTCAATCCCCTGAGCTACACCAGCTAGGGTAGTGGGAAATTTTCTAAATCAGTAATCTTCATTATTCTAAAAAGCTTCCCACTGGAGAAAGCCTTATGAAAGTAGTGAATGTGGTAAACCCTGTATCTGTAGCAGTCTCCTCAGTTGTCATCAGAGAGTTCACTGTAGGGAATCACCTTGTGCTTGTAATGAATGTGGGAAGTCTTTTTTTTTTATCAGTAGTTTCCATTATGATGAGAAGTTTTACCCTTCAGAAATGCCTTTTGAGTGCTGTCTATGTTGGAAATCTTTTACCAGTAACCATGGTTTTCATTGCCATTAGAGAATTCACAATCACTAGGTTCTTATAAGTTAAGAAATTTTGGGAAATCTTTTATGTCTAGCCATTTCCTTTGTTATCTTCTGAGAAGTCACACTGGCAATAGGTTTTATATATACATACAATATGAGAAATTGTTTTCCTATAGCACTAAGACCCCTTATGTTCAGAGATTTCACTTTGGGGAAAGACCTTATGAGTATTGTGGCTGTGGGAAATTCTTTTTCTATGCTTTCCTCTTTTCATATCATCAGAGAGTTTACACAGGAGATAGGCCTTATAGGTCCATCAAATTTAAGAAATGTTTTATGTCAGAGTCATGGTCACCTTAATCACAGTTCACTGATTAAAGACTTCAAATGTGACGTGAACATGGGAAATCTCTGGCCATAAGTCAATACCCTTTTGGCATTGGAGAGTTCTCATTGTGTAAATGCTTATATTTTGGTAAATGTATTTTATTTCCTATGCAATGACACTGAAGAAAACTTTCTGAGGAAACCCATGTATTTAATTTTACATGTTCACAGTATAGACGTGTCTCAGAAGTTTTTTGTTTAACTTTTGAAGGACTTAACAAAGCACATCTAATTGTGACTTTATGCATTCTTACTCATAGTGTATGGGCTGCATTTCCCTACTCTAACAGAATCTTCTTGTAATAATTATAAATGTTAGCTCTTTTCATATGTTCATCACGCTCTCTGTTCTTTTAGTTGCATTTCCCTAAGGATTTATGATGAGCATTTTTACAGGTGTATATATACTACTTATATATTTTTAGTAATACGAGTGCTCACATAACTACCAATTCTTTTATTAATTTTGGCCACTGTCCTTTAACAAATAGGAAAGGAAAACAGCAAAGATACATGTTGCAATGTCACCTGTTTTCACTCCTTGAATAACAAATATTTTTTGCTATATGGAAAATCTTTTTGGAATAATTTTTTTTGATCCAGGTTTTTTTTTAAGATTTTACTTATTTATTTCTAGAGAGAAGGGAAGGTAGAAAGAGAGGGAGAGAAACATCAGTGTGTGGTTGCCTGTCACGTGCCCCCTACTGGAGACCTGGCCTGCAACCCAGGCATGTGCCCTGACTGGGAATTGAACTGGTGACCCTTTGGTTCGAAGGCCTGAGCTCAGTACACTGAGCTACACCAACTGGGGCCAGAATACTTGTTTTTAATAGTGAAAAATATTTCCAAATTATTGGATTTCTTGCTGTATACAATGCAGTAGGAATATATCATGTATTTCAAGGAATAATCTGCATTATTTACACAATCACTTTTATAAGTTCACATATTTACTAATGTAATAAGCCTTGCTTTTTAGTGTTCACCCATTTTTATGGTCCATCATCTGTGGTTTGCTGGGCTGGAGAAGGATTTGAAGGTGGACTGGGTGGTATGCGGATGAACAAGTATTTCTTGAGCTCAAGGCCCTCCTAAAAGCCCAAGGGAAGAGTTCAGTGATCAGATTCCCCATACCTTGGGCCATGCAACCTGAGTTTAAAGCTTGGATTAGTGACTATTGTTATGATTACAGGGAATTGATGTCCTCTAGGGGCCTCAGTTTCCCCTGTGTAAAAGAGGGGTAAAGAGAAGCCTTGGTTCTTATTAAAAAAGCAGTAGCTATACCATTAGTTATCACCTGAGGGCATCATCCGCTGGCTAGTCAGTCCTGTGACCTTCTACTCCATGTGCTTGTGAAAAATAAATGGGGGTTCTCAGATACGCAATATCTGCTTTAGTCCACACAGACCCTACCTTATGGAGGAGATATCTTCAGGGCTCCTGTGTCTCAGTACGGGTTCTGCACTTGGGAATCTTTGGGTAACAGTAAAACTCGTCAAAACTCACTTCACTGACGTGAAATTAATGATGGCACTAACTATGATGCTTTTGAGCATCAGTAGAGGTATTCCAATCTTCTAAGAATAAGACGTATCTGGGAATACTGGTTATGTACCAATTTTATATTTGCTGCCAAAATGGGTGCAATGTTGGCATCCCTGATTGTGTGGAAAGTGGGAACCTCAATCTGAGGTAAAGGTTTTGAATTTGAGGTTTTACCACTTATCCTGAACATGATGATCATTTCTGCTGAAAATGCATTGACAATGTCTGCATGGGGACTGCAGATTGTTTCCAGAAGAGAATTAGATCAAACTACAGAGAGGTATTCCTGTTGATTAATGAAGTTATTCAATAAGAATTACTTATATAGCTATAAAAGAAAAGACTCTATTAAGCATGAGAACAGGTAAGACACAATGGGTGGTAAATAAAGGACACTGACTTCTAAGAATGAGAGATTTAACTGGAAACTTGGCTACCCTGAAATTCTTTGTACAATGTGTGAGCGCATTTCATTCATGAGAACCTGAGGAAAAAGTAGGTGACAAAGATAGTTGTAAGCAGAAGGATTTAGAAAAGTGTAAGGAAAGACATGGCATCAAGTTTTATTTCTTTAACCATCACTTATTATTTCATCTGTTTTTTTGGCTGTTCCAGGTCTGTGTTATTTGTCAGTGAGTAAATAAAGGTGTTTGCAACCTGGTTTCTTCAAAGCCCTTATTGAAGGCTAGCCAAGAGATCAAATATTTAATATCATAGTAAATTATAAAGGGATAGGTGCCATTGGAACATGAAAAAAGCAGCACACCAAAATGAAAATCATGTGGATCCTCAAGACTTTGAGAGCTCTCACTGGAAAAGGGGAGAAAGATTTGATTAGATCAGATTGCTGTTCCATGGACAATTAAAATACAGTAAAATTTTCCCATGTTAGTAAATTGGTTAGAGTGTCAGACCATTTCTATGACCACTATCCCAGTAGCAGGATGCTGGAAATACTGTATTTCTTATTTTTTAGAAGTGATTTTTAAGTAACATCTGGTAAGATTTTAGATTTTTTTCAACTCCTCTCTTATGTTAGTTTTAACATTTTTCAAGTTTTGGGTTCTATTTTACTGTGATATTTGCTATAAATTTTTAAATAGCACAGGCTTCCTATACAATTATTGATTTTTTATATTTATTGCATATATGCTTCTATATTTTTGTTAATTCCAATATTTTTTGCACTTTTTTCATTTAGAGGTATACATAGGTTAACTTTCAATATGAATATGTTGTTTATTTACTCTAAGTGTAATTTATAAATATGGTCTTTAACTTACTCCATTAGGGATACAAGAATATCATGTGACCTCTGATCTTAAATATGTCTGGGGAACCCCAAATTTCTTTTGTTATAATAGTCACAATATCACTTTGAAATAAGAAAAACACCAATAACTTTGTCAGAATTCAATTCTCCCATTTTTTCCAAAATCTATTTTTCATAATTGATTTGTTTATAAGTAAACAATTGACTTATATTTATTTCGAAAAGATTTATTTATTTTTAAAAGATATTTATTTTTAGAGAAAGGGGAAGAGAGGGAGAAAGGGAAAGAAACACCAATGCGTGGTTGCCTCCCACCCCTCCAACTGGGTAGCTGGTCTGCAACCCAGGCATGTGCCCTAACTGGGAATTGAACGAGAGACCTATCAGTTCTGGGCCGGGACTCAACCCATTGAGCCACGCCAGTCAGGGCAACTTCTATTTAAGTTTTATATTTTTTATCTTAGTTTTTTTTTTTAATTTCAAAGTTTTGTCTTACTGTCTTGTATTATATTTCTCATATATTTGATGGTGTAAGCAGGTCATTTGTCATAAAATTTCCAGACCCTGTAAATGCAGGAGCACCTCCTTTTATTACTGCAACTGGCTGTGTGGAGTTGTGGAGATAATGCACGTTCATCATCATACACGCGAGACCCTTCAGCAGGAATAGATGACATCTTGTATCATGTTGGGTCTCTTTTGGACCAGGACGCGTCAATACCTTGTACCCTTCCCGAAGAGCCTGGGTGTTGTCTCTTGGAATGGGGGGAGGGGGGGACCCTGTTCACCTCCGTGGACTCCAGGGGCCGCAGTACCCAGAAGGCCGTTGGAGGGCTGAGCTAAGGCTCAGAAACGGCCTTTCCATTGGGGCTAACGGCATGAGGGCGGGACTTCCGTTGCCCCGCTGGCGGGCATTTTCTCTACCCTCTGGA